GAGGTGTGAGGAAAAGCTATGAGCCTGATGCTGTCTTCCCCTAGGAAATGCTTTACTTCACGGTAACAACTCATGCGGAATTCAGAAAAGGAGACAATAGTCTGCACTCAGAACAAATAGCACTTCCCTGTTCCCAACAAGGAAAGAGCATTTCTGAGTGCCCAAGGATGTGTGAGCAAGGGAGCTCAAGTATGTGTGTGATGCACATATATGGTAAGAACCTTTTATCAGGTACAGAAAATGTGGAAATTGGAAAGAATCTAGTCTGGTTACCCATGTGAGAAAATGTGAGGCAGGGGAATAATTAGCCTTAACAAATGCATGTATGTTACACACACACACACACACACACACACACACACACATTTATTTGCAAGGACACTATGAGAACATTTTGCAGAAGCTGGGATTAGCATTACAGATACAGAATTTTACATAAGAAACCCCATTACTTTAAGCTTTAAAATGCATTTCTTAGTAATTAATTTAAAGCAATTAAGCCTTCAGAAAGATTAAAGAATAAAGTTATGTGGTTTTCTCTTTGCTTTATTTTGAAAGTATTTGTTTGCCTTTAGTCTCACATTTTTTTCAAAATCACCACCCAATTTGGTAATCAATAAAGTGTTTCCTACTTCAATAAACTTGTTTACTGTGTCTGTTTTTGCATGTTTTTTACCCCACAGTTTACCTTTCAATGAAATAGATTTGCTATCCAAATTGGCTTAATGGATATTAGGTGATGATGATGACTCTATTGATTTTGGGGTGTGTGTAAAAGAAGTTTTCTGTGCACAAGGAGGTCTTCCAGATGCAAAAGCCACACTTGCCGTTACACAGAACACGACGGGCTTACAGAGCCATGGCTATTAGGTGATTGCGAGAGTTCTCCCAAGGGACCCTGTTCTCCCCACAGACACTCCCAGCAGCAGGCAGGAAGCAGGTGCGGGACTGCTGATCCTCGCTTCCAGACACAGAAAAGTGCTGGGAAGGTAAGATTGCTCTGTGGTGCCAGCTGATAAACCAGTGAATTGTGATAAGCAATTTTGAGAACTTTGGAAAAGAAGATATTTTTCTCAAAATCATAATTTACTGTAGTCAGATTAGCTCATTTTCAAAGGAAGGTCTATAAATTACAGACTGAGCACCTTTTACAGTCCTATAAGTGAAATGTAGATAGGACACCGACAGAATTCATCTCGTTGGTACCTAATCACACACTGCAATAGTCTGCTCTAGATTTTCTATAAAATGTGTTTAGTGCAGAAGAAATAAAAGTGGATGGCCTTCTCATGAGGAAAAGGGCACGCATGTCTTTTTACTGACTTATTCCTTTTAGAAAATCCAGGCTCCATGCTTTTTTCCCACGGCTGATATTCAGAACAGACACAGTCAGTGCCAGGAGGGTCTGGAGGCCTGTGCATTAAGACGTGACTGGGCTACAGATGCGCTTGTTATTTAAATGGAAACAACAAACAGAAATTCTTCATATAAACATGGGATTTTAGGGTTCATTCAGCCAATTTCCCTTCATTTTAGGGATGTGCAAACGAAGGCTCAGAGGTGAGAGTTCACTTAGAAATGCTCACATTCAGCCGGAGCTGTGGTGACCTGTCCCCCTCAGAGTCAGTTCTGTGAGGACTCTGGCTACTGTTGTCCCAGGACTCCCAGCCCCCAGGTCCGGCTGCCATTGACTGAGTCTGGGTTGCATCTTCCCCTCTTCCCCTACTCTTTAAAAAATATACAATATATATAGATATATTTTATTGATTTTTTACAGAGAGGAAGAGTGAGGGATAGAGAGTTAGAAACATTGATGAGAGAGAATCATCCATCAGCTGCCTCTTGCCATCCCCTACTGGGGATGTGCCCACAACCAAGGTACATGCTCTTGACTGGAATCGAACCCGGGACCTTTCAGTCTGCAGGCTGACGCTCTATCCACTGAGCAAAACCGGTTTAGGCTCTTCCCCTATTCTTATCTCTTAAGAGAGGAGCAGGCTAGCTCCCGCTCCTGCTAACCCTTCACCTGTGCTCTTGACACCCCCATAACATAGCTATCTCCCCAAGTCTCAGGCCACGGCACTGCTTTTTCTTTTCCAGGAAACTGAGGTTGTCAGGAGAGGGTGCCATTCTAAGTGTGTTGTTCATTTGGTTTGGTTACATTGATTTCGCTGCATCCTCACCTGTCTCTGTTCTCCAGGTCAGAAAGATGTTGCTCTTCTAAGGCTTAACTACAGATTTGCACTCTGCCTCCATGGAAAACTTCCCCTCAGCGGTCTGCCTTCAAAGGTGTTCATCTCTCCCTTTCTCCTGATTCTTTCTGTAGCACATACAATTTTCAAAGGTCTCTCACCTTAAAAATATCCTTTGATTGTAAATGCTTCTCTGTTTCTTTCTTTCTTTTCCTTTCTCAGCTAAACTTCTGATAAGATTGAACTCAGTCTACTCATTTGTGTTTTCTACTCTTGCCTTGACCCTACAGACTGCTTTCCGTCCCACCATTCCTAGTGAATGCTGGTCACTCAACATCCCTGTATCCATTCATCCTTCCAAATACAATATGTCCTTGTTGTCCTTTTGGGGACTACTTCTTCCCTAAGGGGTAGTTTATCAATTAGGGGCCCTGCAGGGCAAGGGGTGAGCACATGAACCAATCTGGGGGAGTCAGATGCTCTGTTCTGAACCCTGAACACAGTGAGAAAGCCTGAAAATTGTTGGTGCTCATCCTCGCTGCATCAGCACCATGACCAGACTGCCTGGCTGTGAGGCCCGCCCACTCACTGGCCCCCTGGAGTTGGTGTCTTTCCCCTGTCTGTGTGTAAGCCTTATTCTTCACATCAACACCCGGAGCTCCTAATTTTCTTCTAGTAAATGTCCCTTTGCACACCCCCTACTAGGGATGTTACCTGCAACCAAGGTACATACCCTTGTCTGGAATCAAACCTGGGACCCTTTAGTCTGCAGGCCGACGCTCTATCCACTGAGCCAAACTGGTCAGGGCCTTTCATTACTCTTTTAGTGACAAATGTTAGGAAAGGAATTATGCCAACCTCTCTGGGTGGGTAATAATCTTTAAAGCATTCATTTAGGTGGTTCCCGCCAATCCTCTATCTATATTGAGAGGGGTTAACATTTCAGTCCCTGCTTCTTTTAGCTCCAAAAAAAAACTACTCAGAGCAACGCCACAATAATTTCCCTACACGACCATGAGATCTTATTTGGATTTTTAACACACAGTCACACTCTAATGAGGTCTTCATAAAACTGACTAAATATGTTTAGAAATCATTAGCTTAAATTACCGGCGCAAAACCTCCTCGGGGAGTCCCCCAGATTTGGTTAGAAGACTTTTGGCAGATGGATTAGTTCAACACAGCAGAGCTTGTGCATCTCCACACCCGCAGTGTAAGTGGGAGTGCCTGGGAAACTGGCGCCTGGATGAGAAGTTACACGTCCCTCAGGTGGGTCCATTAAAGAGGGAAAACAATCACAGCACATTCCAGTGCAGTCACATGCCAGGTGTGCAGCCTTCGGGCAGGTGCCAGGGAACCTGACAAGGGTCCCATCCCAGAACACGCGGGCTGAAAGGGGATGCTCAGTGGTGACAAGGAAGTCTCAGATAATGACAGGTCCTGGCAGATGCGCCGGGGACCCTGCTGGAGGGAAGTGCAGCGTCTGTGTCTTCTGCACCAGGTGCTGCGACAGGGAAGGGCTCCCAGTGGCTCCAACACCGGCAATTACAGCCGCCTGCTGCAGACCGCTTCAGGGCAGAAATCAGGGGGAAGCGGTTCCCAGCGCTGTCTAATGAATGGCAGCAAGTCTGTGTAAACAAACGGGCAGCCAGCTCGCTCATGCCTAATTCATGAAGGACGCACCATGTGCAGTAAACATGCAAGCAGGTAGTTGCTGCCCTGGAAAACCATGTCATTTTGATTTCTTCGGTGGTTTTCTTGCTGCTGTTTGTAAGCATGGAAAATGGGAAGGCGTCTCTAGACAAGTGGGCAGCATGAACAATGGGAAAAGGTCAGCGCCTGGTCCTGGAGGGGATGTGCCCTCCTGTCAAAACCTCCCAATCATGCCAGACATCTCAAGGGCAGATGCCATTACATTCATGACTAATTGAAGACAGACCCATCCAAGGGGCTGATGGTAATGAGGTGGGGACTCTTCAGAGCTTACCACATCTCCACAGACATGGTAAGGATTTAGAAGGATTAAAAAAAAAAAAAGTGTATGGGCTTCCATTTATGGATAAAGCTGAAACCTAGTCACTCTCTTCCCTTCAGTTGCACCCTTTTAGCTGGAGTTACTATGTTTATTTGTCAGAAGGAACAGTTTCCATAAAATAAAAAAAATCAAGTCATCACCCTGCATGGGCCCGCCTCAGTGCCAGACGGAAGGCACAGAGACACCACTGCTTCATGGCCCTTTTTGTTTTATAGATTTAAAAAATGTATTGTTGCTATTAGAGAGGGAAGAAAGGAGAGAGAGAGAGAGAGAGAGAGAGAGAGAGATTGAGAGGTGAGAGCTACATCTATCATTGCCTCCTTTCGTGCCCTGACCAGGAATCAGACCCACAATGAGCTTCCCATGCATGGGACAGTGCTCCAACCAACTGCATACAAGATCCAGCACTGTACACCATATCTAGAGTCAGTTTTCCTGAAGTAAGGAATGCAGTTATGTCTAATGCAGCACCCAGGGGTTCTGATGCCCAACAGCCAACTTTCATGCGTAGAGTTGTTTTTGTGTGCTCAACAGAGCCAGATAACAACTGCTTTTAAATCTTGATTGCCTTTCCTGTCGCTCTTGTGACAAATGAAAGCAATTCAGACTATGTTTACTGATAATTTATAAGCTAATGCAGCAAGCAGTAGGAGGAGCTGTAGTAGTTAATGTTTTCTGGAGTGCACCAAATACTGCTCCAGAAGCTTGCTCTGGCCTTACTTTATGTTACCAACAAAGCAAGGAACAAATGGATATGCTGGTGTCTCACTTACCCTGCCCACTTCCACGAGGTTGGTCACCATTATTATGCTCGCCGTGTTTTCATGCCACACCATCCTCCAGAAGTCGTAGATAGTCTCTTGCATGGGTCCTGCAGCAGAACAACAGAAACTTTTCTTTTCCCTTTGTCAGTTTCCAAGTAGAAAATTTCTGGGCTTGCAAATAAATCACATGCAGTTCTCTCACTGTCATAGATGTGTGGGAAGCCACCACTTGCCAATACTGTCAGTGCACCAAGGAACATGGAAAGCTCATGGACCTTGGGTGTTAGCAGGGCTGAAGCTAAGGACTGATTGTTCCTGTTAAGATAGTGGTTTCTCAAAGCAATTCCTCTACTGTTTACCAAACTCTACCTTTGATATGCCTCTATGCATTGCTAAAGGTCAAATGTGTTTTCAAATAAATAAATAGCAGACCAGGCCAGGAGTCAGTGTGTCTCTTCAAGAAAGAGGCTCCAGGTGGCCCCCAACACCTTTTAAATTCATATTTCTTGTATATCATTTTCATTTGTGTGTCAGCCCCTCCTTCGGATCCTTGAACCTCGCTATGAAGGTCATGGCATAGATGGACATAGCTCTCCTTTCTAGTGTTGATGCAAAAGGGTACTCTTTTTAAGAGTACCTATAGAAATATAGAATTTTTCATTCATAGTTGAAATGATTTTTCACTCATAGTTGATATGATTTTTCTCATGTCATCCAACATATCTGTATTTGAGCTTTTTCTACCCCTAAACTATTGACTCGAATGAAAGGTATTTTCCATCATTTAGCTATTTATCTCCATAATACTCAAGAGTGATATTTTAAAACATGGATAACATTACTCTTCTTGCTAACAATTGGCAGATATCCCAGGGAAATGGTATATAGAATGAAATGAGCCTCTACAGGAAAATGTCCTTTTCTTGTGTCTAATGTTTTTCTTATTCTGCCAAATTAACCCATTCTGGGGTGTCTGACTTCCTAAAGTGAGAGAGAAGTTAGAGTTTTAAGCAGTTGTACTTCTTATCACTGAACATGATAAGCACCTCCTTTATTATCTCTTGGGAGATCTGAGAATTGAAAACTCTAATGGACTGGGGTAAAAAACGTGGGAAAATGTGTATTTCAGAATGTCAGTGCTATAGTTATCAGCAGGTATAGAGAGTTGAAATTCAGTATTTCTTTTAATCCAGATTTTAGAAAATCCCCAAACTCCATTTGATGATCATTCATATTTGGGAGAATAAATGTACCATTATAAGTCTTTATAAGACAAGCAGAAGTGCAGGAAATGTGAGGAATACAACTTCAAAGGCACAGAGAGACACATGCTATGTGCGGAATCAGATACCCATTCAGGTACATGCTGGGATCGGGATCCAGTTGTGCTGTAATATCTTGACAACATAGTCTAATGGATTTGGAGCTCAATATCCAAACTGGAGATTGACCTCAGCTTTTACACTGGCTGTGTGATTTTGGGCATGTCATTCAGCCACTGTGAGCTTTAGTGTCTTCATCTTTCCTTATCTACATATTGACTTCAGTAACATTTGTTGGGGTTATTTTGAGAATTCATGGAGTCAGTGAACACTCAGGCATTTTATAAACAGCAAAGCACTAGAACAAAAGCAAGGTACACTGAAAGATATTTATTCCATGGCTGAGGCTTGGATCCTGAGCAATGGTGGCTCATCCAAGGGGACCCTTCAGGCATCTCCCATTTCTCCTGAACAATTGGTTTTGTGTAATTTTTTTTCTCCTTCCTCACTATCAAAGCCTCCCTCCTTTCTTTCCCCAATTCAAACCTCCACCATCCCTCCTTGTGCTTCTGACTACACATTCTTACCCTCCCCATGAAAACCAACTCGACTCCCTGATATCACTGAGTCTAGTCACTTTATGGAACTTTGTATACCACCTCCCAAAAAACTGCACTTGCCATTTGGGCCCCTGTCCCTAGGCACATGCGTGCCATTCTCCTGATGTATAGGCTGAAATTTTCAGTGCCTTCAATCTAAGGTAACAGAGGAGACAAGTAAACATCAGATCCATCAATGACTATGTTTCCAGTTTGCAGAGAAGTACATCCATTGTGTACGTAACAGCTTGTTACTTACAAGAAATGAAATACCAAGTCCATCTTTGTGCAAACAGATAGTTTTCCCAATGTGACCCGCAAAATAAAGGAGTGGCCCAGACATCTTTTTGCATCCTTCATTAGATACACAGGCCTGTGCCACCTGTTCTGAAACTTCTAGGTATAATGTTGATGACAATGGCTACAGTGGATGCATCGATGTTCTGGCATCATGGGTGGTGTGTGTGCCGACAGGAAGAAAGCTACCTCTCTCCTCAAGGCCCAGCAGGAGTCTTCCCAGAGACATTGTAGGCCAAGTTCCAAAGTGCAGCTCACATGCCCTTCCTTAGGTTTAGACCCCACTGTGATTACTTCCAACTTCCCCCTGGAGGGAGCATGCTGTTATGGTTTATAGCCCACAGCAGGGGCTCAGTGAACAAATGAATGAGTGAATAAGTCTGTATGCATATTCATAAACTGTATTACTTATTATTAAGGCATATTAAATATATAAGTATTTAAAAGTATTAACATACAATATTTGCATGGTTCCTTTTCTTTACTTATATTTCAGAGGTTATCTGCAGAAACTTAAAAGCACTCGCCTTTACTTTTCCCCAATTCATTACATGGGGGCATCTTCTGTAAGATCTATTTCAATAGGTTTCCCTGCCCTAAGGCTTTGCTCCCCAACTTAACTCATTCCATTTCCCTAGGTCGCCAGTAGGTGTTCATTCCATTCACCCTAGCCTCCCAGTAGCTGTTCTCTATTGAGGGCAGAGGTTCTCAACTCTGGCTGCATATTACCATGGTTGTGGAGCTTTGAAAAAAATCCTTATGTCCTAAGCCAAGAGACTCTGATTCAATTGACTGGGGATGGGGTTTGGGTCTGGGTGTGTTTTTGAATCTCTCCTGGTGGAAAACCAGAGATCTACAGCATTAGGGACATTGGGACTCTACCTTCTGACCTAACTACCAGGTGGTCTCGTATGAAGTGTTTGTTTTGAATCTACTGCTTAGCCAAACCCTAATACAAGGTCTCAGAATCCAGGAATCCGATTCTTTCTGATTTAGAGAAAATCTTCACTTACAAAATGTCATCTCAGAACACAGCTGTCCCACCTCGGCATTAGGCTGAGCATCCGTTAAGGTGACACCAGTTATAAATATTTACATAACTAAATTTGGGTTATTCTTCAAATAAAGGGCGCTTATAAGCATTAGTGGCTCACGTATACACCTTAGTCTTGATGATTTTCTTACCCACTGACTTGAACTATGAAAAAAAAAATTAGGATAGAAAAATGAATAAGGGAGGGTTATTTTCAATGCTAAAATTAGGCACCGGTGTCCAGAAGAAATAAACCAGTTTGGGGTTAAGATCTGAAAATGTATTTGAACACAACGCTTATTCTAAGTTGACCCCAGAAAGAAAAAAGAAGTGTCAGGAAAGGGCCCCCACCTCCCCGGTGCAGTGTTGCCCTTTCTCCCCTACCTCTCCCCTCCTTCACCCTTGGGGCTCTGTGCACTGTTAGCCTGTGAGAGTGGCCCCTTCTCCACCCCACAGGCCTCTCCCTGACCTGTCACTGTGGCAGCTCAACAATGAAACTGCTCAGGACTGGGCCTGGTTGTCTCTTCTCTTTGACATACTTTAGATTATTTCCCGAGACAGGAATACACTATGAGACAGAGATACATGTCTCCTGACAACATTGAGAAAGCACAATGCAGGTTGGGCGGGCAGACTTTATTGACATGGAGGCTATTCCACTTGATTTAGCAGCTCCTAGTGGGTCTGCTGGGTGACTGGCCCTCGTGAGCCCACACTGAGTCTACAGTTGCATGCCTGGTACACAAGGTGGTTACTGAAAGGGTTGAAATTGGGGTAGGAAGACCATGAGAAGGCCGGTACTCTTTTGCCCTCCATGTCCGTCTCCCAAATGCTGGTGTGGCAAGCACCTTACCATGAGGAGAATCATTGTTAATGTGGTCACTGGGGACTGCTCACAGAAAACAGACATATAGGCTGGCTGGTGCGGCTTAGTAATTGAGCATGGACCTATAAACCAGGAGGTCACTGGTTTGATTCCTGGTCAGGACACATGCCCAGGCTATGGGCTTGATCCCCAACCAGTAGGGGGCAGCCAATTAATGGATTAATGTGTTTCTATCAATTCTCCTCTCTTCCTCTCCCTATAAAATCAATACAAAGAAAACAAGAAAACAGACAAACAACTCCCAAGACAAGGAATGCAAAACAGCAGGCACAGGACTGAAAGATCTCCCTCCCTACAGGTGTGAACAGCTGCAATCCAGCCCCAGTATTGGATTTCTGCAGTTTCTGGCTGGGTGGGAACTGCCACAATTGCTGTGTCTGTGCATTTACAGATGTTTGCACAGTAGGCAAGAAGGTTATTCTCAGCAGTCCTCCCCCTGTGGGACTAAAGCATTTAAAAGGTAAGGCCTTGAAATTTCAATAATATCAGGCCGGTAATACATTCCATTTCCCTCACAATAGTTGGCACACACAGACCTCTGCTGAGAAGGAAAGGTGTGGCGGGGCCATTCTTACCACCACCAATGCCTGAAGGAACAACAACAAAAAAAGGGCAGAAAGAACTAGAGCACAATAAGGAATAATTAAAAGCAATGAGAAGCATGAAGTGAAAGACAGTCAAGGATAGACTCTATTGTGTAAGATGAATTCTCTAGTTCATGAGGAGTGAGACATATTAAAAATTATCACTTCAAATCTTGATAGATGACTTGTACCCCTTATTTTCACATTCTAATTTCTATGCAGTATGTTTTGTGTGTTAACTAGAACTGCGGGGAAGTCAAGGTCCTTTAAGCTCACAGTGGCATATTCGAGCTTTCTGAAGGGAAGAGAGATAGTACAAATGTGAACTTGTATTCAATCACAAATACAATACCCAACTCCTTTTGTGCACTTACTATTTCACAGTTCCTGTTTGAAGTGTTTTATACGAATCGACTCTCTGAATTTAAAAAGCACAATCCTATGTA